GTAATTTGGTTAATTGTAAAGAATGAAGAACTTTTACTTCACAATTTCCGAATTTGAAAATTGTCGATTGGAGTTCTTCTCATTTTATTGCTGAAATATGATTCTTCTTGAAAAAGTAAGCTGCTGGGTTTATTTTGCACATTGTAATCGAACAATACAAACCACATTCYTCAAAATCATTAAAAATCGTTTGCTCTTAATTGTTGATAACACTTGATCGTCCGGAAACTCTTKTTTTTTYACGGGTATGTGTAYCATTTCCTCTTCCGAAAGCGTTTGTACAAGAAGTATTTCAAAAATTTCCTTTATGTTYGTTGTGATGCTTAACTTCTGATTTCGGTCTAGTAGGTAGTCTTCAAATTTTTACGATTTAGTCGATATAGGAAATACGATTTTCCAACTCCATARTTTCGGTCTTTCTATTACYATTCTTTTTAGTTAGTATYAACTTTTTGAGAGAGCCCAATTTCAGGAAGCTTTATCCTCATAAAGGTGCATTTAACTTTATTATCTTCAACCAGCTAATATGTTTCTATCACATCGCATTTTTTAGTGTATATTTTATTAAAGTGGTTTGGTGGTAATCTCTAATAAAAATAAATGGAGGATACTGATGATAAGATGTGTTTTATATTTATGAATTTTCAATTGTAACTATTCATACCTTGGGCTTTCCATTCTATTTTAATCTTGCTTGTTTTCACAACTATCGTCCCAAAATTAGTAAATCTGTATTGGTAGAAATACACACCTTTTTTTTTCTTTTTATTTCACACCATTTCTTAAACTTTGACAAACAAAATCTTTCTGGAGTCTAATAAACTAGTTTTTCTTTCGTTTCAAGTTAATTAGACATTTCTGAGTTTGCCGATGTTTTAAGGAAAATTAAATTCTAACTGGATTGAGTACGTGACCGTCGAAGAAGCATTAGTTTGGATAACATGAACAGAAGGACCAATTGCTTGAAAGCCTATTTCTTCAAAGAATCAAATATAGTTGCTATTTTTTTAATACTAAATGAAATAAGGAATTATACCAGGCATTATAATTTAGACGATAACAAAAAATTCCACTTTTATCAAACTAATGTACCTATCGGTACAAAGAAATAAAAATTTTATCGAAAAAACGACTAACTAATTTTATGGTAACTGGCTATTCAAACTTATAGAACAGTTAATTCAGGAAAAAGTTGCTCAATTATGTATGATCCGAAGAAGTTGAACTAAAGTGGTTTCTAGTTGTGGGTGCCCGTATAATTAAATTAGCAAGGAAAAGTAGTGATTAAGTGGAAAACAATCAAGCAGAAATATCAGTCTCGTCAGTTCTCCAAAAGTATACGTATTCACTTCTTTGACCAAACTTTAAATTTATGTTTATACCCTTAGCAATTTACCAATTTTTCCATTCGTTTCTTAATTTGTATACTTTGCCCATAATGCATTACATTAGCACATCTGGTTCACTTTACTGAAAGTTTCAAATTCTTAATTTTGCATTTGAGAACAATTTTATACAAAAAGGCCAAGTGGTTCGAGCCATTATTCAAATATCTCACAAATGTGAAAATAGTTACTTGCTGATATAACACACATTTGAATTTTTCCAGCTTGTTCGAGACAGTTCAGACACTTTTTTGGGCCGTATTCGGGTTGATCGATTTGGATAGTTTCGAGTTGAACGAAATCAGAATTTTCACCCGATTTTGGGGGATGCTGATGTTCGGCACTTATTCAGTTATCAATATCGTCGTTCTACTTAATCTTCTCATCGCCATGATGAATCATTCCTATCAACTGATTTCGGTAAGTGAAAATATTTCCAAAAATCCTTACTTGATGGTTGTAGTCGTGTCAATAAAATGTTATTAATAATTTTATTTATTCTTTGATTTTGTATTTATGACAAATTGATTTCTGCGAATACTGGGTGAAATGTGTGAGGGTTTCTTGTTTGAAAAAGTAACTGCTGATGTTTACGTCTAAAGTTGGAGAAGGTTAAAGCTGGGGCATTTTTAGGTTTGCACACTTTTAAAAATTGATAAAATTTAAAAATAATTTGGCAAAAATACAATGTTAATAAAAATAGGCCAGAGATGAGCAACCCGCAGCCCTACGTACTTTTTTGCGCGGCCCGTCAATGTTTAACGGATTTTTTTAAATATATTTACAACTATATTCTTATCCTCCCTGGGTCTCAGTCAAAGTGTGAAGTAGAAGTTTGAATATCGTTGATTTCATTACGTTTCGCTGAGACAACAGCGCCATCATCAGATTTAAAATTTACTCAAACACCAATTCACAATTAAAACATGTTGTATAAAAACGACAATTTATAAAGGGTTAAAACATTCATCAGTTGAGGGAAAAAATTTCCTGTTGGGAGAGCAAAATATTTGAAAAACTCACCTCATAATTGGTAAACATTACGTTCTTTTGGGTCTTTGCATTCTTGAAATTTTAAATTTGTTTGAAGTGAATTTTGAAGCAAACACTGTTATTACGGTTACAAAAAAAGTGAATATCCCTCGAATGGCTCAGGATAAACAAACGATTAAAGATCCCAATTAATTTGAAGACATGAGACTATAACGTCGTAGGTATACTTTTATCCTTCGACCCGAAGGAAAATTTGAACTTTGACCAAGAAGTATTCAGTAAGACAGTATTTAAACACCCCGAACAATATGTTTGTTTAAGTTTTTTTGCTTATCTTATATTTTGAATTTTGTCTAAGAACAGAGCTATAATTCGAACAATAAAAAATCGGATCACAGACTGAGAAAATATTTAGTCAAAAGTGACGGTATTTTAACGAATTTCAGCTATGCGTTAAGTTTACGAAGTAGTGTATAAATTATATTACATTATATGTGGAAATAAAAGATTATGTCGGATTTTGACCTGTATGTCGCGATACCAAAGAATATGAATAACGTAAACATGAACATTAGAGTCTATACTCAGTTTATAAGTCTCAAGATTTTCACAAAATTTCCAAGAGAATCATGACTCGTTTTGGAAGTGCCTACTGATGTTTTCTAACACTTAGTTTCTTCAATAAAAATAATAAAGTGCGACTATTGATCGAAGCCATACGATTAGTCACCTATATCTGCAAATATAGACCAACAGGTTGGTTTCTGGTTTTTTTACATTTTTCTACTGTATGTTGTATTAGAGTTACTTAGTTCATTTACGTTTCTAATATATAAGCGTAGTGTTTAAATGTATAGGAGGGGTTTTCCGTTGCTCATCCCTCATCTCAACAAGTGAAAAATAGGGCATTTAACAAAACAACTTAGATAAAAAAAAAACTAGAGCATTCTATGGTCTTGTTGTTCTGTAGGAACGAGCTGATACAGAGTGGAAATTTGCCAGAAGCAAACTTTGGATAAGCTACTTCGAAGAAGGAGGAACTGTGCCTCCACCCTTTAACATCATTCCAACCCCGAAGAGCGGTTGGTATATTATACAGTGGCTGCGAAGGAAATTTTGCGGATCCAGAGCAGCTAAAAAGGAGCATATGCGTACCATCAGGGTAAGCAATTCTATTCATACTTTTAATTATCCATATAAAGTTTTGTTGTATTGAAACCATTGTTTATTGTGTATGTCTGAAAACCTCAGTGTCTAAAACTATAGCTTTGCGAGCAAAAACCCTAAAGCAAATCTAGTAGAAAATATTTATTGAGGGTTTCAGCCGATTGCATTTTCCTTTGAAACGCCCCATTGCTTTTTCGGGTAGTATTTCGCGGAAAAAAACTGATAAATATGTAGTAAAACGGAACATTTCAACTGCTTTTAGTGGAGTACTGTTCAATTTACATTCGATTTGCTTGTTCGGCTTCTAGTCTGGAGAAATGGATCAACGCATTCATTTGGAAAAAGCGATTTTATTCAGCTTTATGTATTTTTTGGTATTACATAGTCCAAGTAATTTTTATAGTAGGTATTGATACTTGGCTCAAAAAAGTAAATTTGTTAGAAATCTGTTAAGCACCCAGTAACATATTGTACTGATGACATCCGAAGGCAAATTCGTTGAGGCACTTTGAAACGACGGAAAACTTTGCTTGGCTTTCAAAATTGCGCATTGGGAGTTCGGCTGGCACTTTCCAAGTTTTCCTTTGTGCAAACAATACCCACCGAACCTGGCCTGGAAAAACTCCAACTTTACGCACTGTTGATCCATACAAAAAGTCTTCGAGCTGAATTGTTTCGGATTATAAATCACTGTTTCGGTAATAAGCAAACTCTTCAGAACATCTCGGCCCTTGATCGAGGACAGGACATGATTGGTGGCTTCTAAAGCTGGTAAGCAAGAGTTTTGATATTGGCAACAAACGCTGCAAACTTTTTCTTCGATAGTGTGCGGAAGGCATTGGCATTGTTTTAGTCCGATTCGGCCACATTCTATGCTGTGACATTCGCTTCCAATGCAAACTCCATTAAGGCCACAAGTGCAGTTGGAGTTGGAATTCGTACATGGACAACCACGATCAAAATTTTTACAGTTCTGAAATGTATAAAAATCGCTGGCATTAACATAAAAAATCAGATTAAATGGGTGCAGGAAGAAAATGAGGTAGTTTTGAAATTGCAAAGTTTTCCTTATGCCGCCGCGCATTTGCATGAGCTTAAACACCATGCCAAAAAACTCTGGAAATTATAACTAGTCAAATAACGAAGAAGATGGAAAACATACCAAACTTAAACGGCATAAATTGGCTCGGGTTGAACCCAACTAATTCAAGAGAGTTTGCAAATTTATTGCTAATATTTTGGCCACTTAATATTCACAGAATGATATACATTAAAAAATATCATCAATATTATGGACGATTTCAACAGTATCCGGACGAATCTTTTGAGAAAAATGTATTCCAATCTAGTACTAAATACTCTTTGGAGCGGAGAAGCACAGATTTTGATTACAATATTTTAAGTGACATTAAAAATTTTTGCAATTCATAAATGAGCCCAAATTTCGAAATTCTCATTTAAAGATGAGTTTGGGTATATTCATAATATACTAGACAGAAAAAATTAAACAAATTTTATTTATATGAACATGACAAATATATTTAAATGATATAAAATATTAGCACCGGCTGAGAAGAATTATTAAAGGATGGAAGGAAGCTTAGGATCAGCCTGCCCAGAAAGAAAATCCCTTTTTCTTAATATTTTGTGACAATGTTCGGCAATGTGTGAATTAGAAGCCGCGTTCTTTCATAACTCTTTACGTTCAAGTTTTTTGCTTAAATCAAGCAACAAACTGCTTTCTTTGCTGATAATTCCATGAGAACATAAATATTTTTAACGAAATTATTTTGTTTTTTTTCTTCAATCCTAAGTTAATGGCTGTAGATGTTTTGGTGCTTTTTACTACGGTTTAGGTTGTGTTATTTCCATTGGCGTTTTTGTATCTATTACTTTAGAAAACGTTTACTCTGAAACGAATGATCGAAAATGGATAAAACGTCTGCACAATGAAACTCTTAAAATTTTGATATGAACATTTGCAACAGTACATGTTAATTTCCTTCTCTGTCTGTCCTCTACAAATTAATTATACACTTTTTCGCAATTTTTTTTAAGTTTCAAATACAATTTTTAAAATCTGGACAATTCACCTTTAACGCAGTAAAGTTTTAGATACTGGAAGCAAAAACATGTAAATGATCGCATCAATTAAAATATGTGAGTCTAACGAATGAGAAAACATAACCATATAACATAATTAATTATTAACCATAGCAAATTTATTTAAAAAATATTACCCTTAGTCAAAATTTTACATTAGTATTCAGTTTAAGTCTATTTGTTTGAAATAATATAACGCAGTTTCAAAAACTACGTTTTGTTTGCTTTCAATTATTTTTCACATGTAATTTTTATATTCGTTTTTCTCTAAAAAGTGTTTTCCTTTCCTACAGAACAAGACTTTGACAGAAACAACAAAAACTTTTGCAATGTTTTGCCAATTTCAATTACGCTTTCTCTATTAGAATTTTTTTAATGTTTTTCCAATCTTGAAAAATCTGTCCTTTTTAGCATTATTGTTAAAATTGTCGATTTTGTTGTCTTGCTTCAATCATCTTCAAGACGCCGTTTACATGATTTGCAAATTTGTTTCATCATTAGCATAAGGAGATAAGTATACTTAGTTTTCCGTTATCTTTTGTTGCCTTTTGGATTTTATCTGTGCATTGGAAATCACTTCTTTAATGCATTGAACTCAGGATTATCTTTATGAACGTTAAAAGCCTAAACAAATTTTTGGGAAAATTATCGATCGAGTATTTTTGTGTTCGAATTTGTAATTCTGTGTACCACAAACTCACCACAAAATGTTCCAAATGCGTGCTATACTTGCAGCTATTCGTACAACATTCGCCTTGCGAAGGATGGCATTGGAATCCGCGTTTTTTATTAATTTGACATGGATATTCTTTGGTTCTTCGAGGCACACAGCATGGGTCCATCTTAAGACAATCTCTGGTTAAGCCGCAGTCGCAATCTTCGCCTTGCTCGACAATACCTGAAGAAATATTATTTGAAACTTACCAAACACGCGATATTTTCTAGAAACTAATGAGAATTAATTTTTCTTGAACCCTAAATATTTGGTAAGTATAGAAATCGATCCATATTATCTTCTTCTAAAATGGTTCAAGTTCGAAGGCAGTTTGTGCAAATTGTACAATCAATGCAATTTGTTGTTAGATGAAAGTATGTAAATTTTTGTTAATTCACAAATAAAAAATGCGCTTTTATTTCCCGACACTTTTATATTTCATTTATTATTAAATCGACTAAGTTCTTAAAAGAATTACATGTTTTAATATTTCTGAAAACTTAAAAAACACAGGATTTGTTTGGATACAACTCTCAAAATATGTGGGCAGCTGAAATATATTTATTATTAGATAAAAGGGAGTAAATATTACGAATAAAAAAGAATAAATATTACACATTTTGATATGCTTCATAATTAATACCTACTGATTTCTTAACAAATATTAGGCACAATTCGCAGCTTTTGGAAAATTATATTAAAAAATCATTGAATTTCTTTACAAATCCTTCCAAGAATAATAAATTGTTATATTTTAAGTTTGGTATATTTTTAATAAAGTATTATATGTTAATAACCTACTATATTCAAATTTATTATTTTCAACAACTCGTCGTTCCCTGCTGCGTAAAAAATGGCTGCAAAGAATAAAAAATGATTCTATTGCGTAAATTAGGTTAGAAAATGCGAGCTAAATAAATAAATAATAATTGTGTATATTTTCCTGACTGTATTTTAACTCAATTCAAAAGAAATTGCTGGATTCCAGTCAATTTTATTGTTTATTATTTAAAATGTTACAAATACGTTTCGGTGTTTTTCTCCACCATCATCAGTTTGTATGTATGGTTGTTCCTACCTTCACACTTGGCAATGTGCTTGGTAGAAACAACCATACATACAAACTGATAATGGTGGAGAAAAACACCGAAACGTATTTGTAACATTTTAAATAATAAACAATAAAATTGACTGGAACCCAGCAATTTCTTTTGAAATTAATAATAATGTAATCAAAGAAAAGAGAAACAGTTTCATATTCTTGTAGACACTAATTTCAATGCCAAGGTATTTTTAGCTTTGTCTGCAGTTGAAAGCAATTCTTACGAAAATGTTAAAAGCAGAGAAACAAATTCCCGTATCTGGAAAAGCTGTCTGAATTCACTAAATATCCATCGTGTGAGGAGAACAAACGAGTTAATCTAACAGAAATAAAGCTGGAAACTGACCGTTTCCACAAAATGTCGTCTGCACTGGCTCGAAACAATCTCCTTTCATAACCAGAGTCCTTAATACTTGTCCTTTGCTGCATGGGGAAAACATCAAATGAGTTCTGTTTCCGTAATAATCAGCAAATGATTTCGGGGACATTAAATAACCGAAACATTCAGGCCTTTCGTCGTGTAGAGCACCAAAGCTGTGCCCTAAATTATACACATCAAGTTAATTTATTACTAAACATTAACATTAATTCGAAAACAACAAACATGGGACTTTCAGCTAGGAATTTGGGGTGTTTCGGTATTGATTATGTCACAGATTAATTACTGTTCAAATATTAGGGTTTGAATCTGGAAATTGTTCAAAGCATTTCCAAATTAACATGAAAATTTGAAATTTCTTTTGCCGTACTTTTTTTTGGATATTCCTATCAGAACAATTTGTGTTTTCTTATTTATTCTTTCGCGATAATTAGAGTTCGTTATTTTCAACTTAAATATGTTACCAATCATCAACAGTAAATGTCTCAGTTCAGTCCAGGTTGTCTTTTTAGTTTATTGTTAAAATAAAATAACATTACATGTTTTAATTAAAGTAAATATTTTGAAATTCTTATCGAAAAGGAAAATTCTTTTGTGCATAAGCGTAATTTATAAAATTAAAATTATTGGCAATTTGCAATATCTTAAACATCTTAGAGTTAAAGTTGAAACATACACAGCTGCAAGTGTTGTTGCCAGTTCGAAACGATAGAAATTACTTTTCTTCAGTGGATATTCACCTAATTCATGAGTGATGGTAACTTCGAAGATGACCTGATTGACTAGAGGAGTTCGGGATGTCGAAGCCGTAATTACCAAACCGTTCATGGTTCCTAAATTCGCTGTTTTCTTATCGCAAATTCCTGCTGTAGGATGCAAAGATGTGCTATCAGGAGTGTAACTTGCCCCCAAAGTGCCTTTGTCGAACTTTTGAGCGGTGAATACTATGCCTAGGCAGTGTTTTGGCAATTCTTCATACCTAAAGTTTGCTACTATAGAAAAAATTTGCAACAATCCTTAAACAATAGTTAAGAACAAGTTAAAGATTTAGAAAAATCCGAGAATGAATTGAAGAACAATTTGTATCAAAAAATATCGTATTAAAATAGCGTAAAAACCCTGATCAGGGATCTTGACCTGATCGTTTTTTGTTAGAATATTTACTCAACTATTGCTTATCAAAATGCAAGCTTTCTTAACAACCTTTACTGACTTTTACTACCCTACTACTACTTACTTCATGAATTGAGTTAAATAGTCAAACACCCTCATGGCGCCTGGTGTGTAACGTGGTAAAAAGTAAGTCGCTTCGCCAGTGGACCAGATCTCAATTTTTTTCACGTAAAATCCAATGTTATCAGGTACTCCGTCTCCATCAAAGTCTGTGGATCTGAATATCGCATTTGCTTCCTCCAAGGAGAAAAGCACTTGAGATATGGCCGCTTCTGTGTTCGATTTATGAACCAAAGTTAAAAAGGAGTTATCGATTACCACGACCAATGGACAAAGCATACTAAAAAAATTATTAAAAATATTATAATCATAAGTTTGTATTACTTGATTCGATTTTTTTTAAATAATTTTTTACGCATTTCCTCTGATTGTGTTTATAGTGGATAATAAACATATAATATTAAAGGTTACATTTCGGCAGATTTACACTTAACACCGTAACATTGTGCATATTTTAGATTTAATTTAAAAAATAACGGAGTTTGCCCTTCTGTCTACCGAAAAACAATAAAGCGTTTATTAAGGGTAGGGTGCTATCTACAAAGAAAAATCTACGAGTTTATTAAGGGTAGGGTGCTATCTACAAAAAAAAATCTACAATGTTTAAATCAGGTGTTCGCGGAGGCTTAGAAAATGCAACGTATTCCAAACTCGTACCATAGGCTCTCCACTAGGCTAAATTCTAAATTCTCTTTCTCAAGTGACTCAGCAGTTTCTAAGCTTCTACGCCTCGAATGTGAAACTGAGATGAATTTCGGCCCAAGAATGATCGGGTACACACTTTCTGAGCCCTAGAAGCTTCTACGACTCAGAAATTGTGAACAGATTAAGATTCAGCAGACTTTTTCAGCTGGGACAGTTTCCAGTACTTAATAGATTTCATATAAAGTTGGACTTTATTCGATAACATTTATACTTTTAAATTAATTATTATTTTCAGCTTCCAATTAAATGGAAAAGAGCACACTTGAATAAATAAAAAAGTGTTCAAAGGAAAATAGGAATAAAAACTGGATTCAGTTACCTAAACCGTTATATGAAGATGTATTTAATAAACAAGAAAGTAAAAATTAAGCAGAGAAAGCCCGTGTGAACACACTGAAAAACTCCAATCAAACAAGACTTACCTTTTTGCATTAAACTGTGTATATTTGCTATGAATACATTTAATATACTCAGTTCATTACAAAAAAGCAAGTCTTGTTTAAATTGGAGTGAAATACTTCTTTCTTTTTCTCCATTCTTTTTCTTCTATTTTAACATTTCTTCTAGCATTTTATTTTTAATATTTTGGGTATCATTTGAAATTTTCGTTTTGATTCGAATACAATGCGATGATGCGATATTCTCTTAAATTTGGGAACAAACATTCTGGAAAGAGAGAGCCAACTAAGTTAATTACAGAAAAATTTAACTACTTATAACCAACAAGATTCTATCTATAGAAAATATTCATGAATTGCACTTCGAACAGGTAAGAAACATGTTTATGTCTTAACCACTCTTTTAAAACTTATAGGTGGTTTGTTAAATCTGTATGAGTTTGATTTTGTAATATTTGCCTGTGTTTGTTACAATTTAGTTCGTTTGCATTTGCTTCAGTCCGACAGAAATGGAAAAAGTAAATCTGGTTTCAATAAGCAGCTTCAATTCAGTTAAAAATAAAAGGTAAAAACAGCGGTTGGTATAATTTATCTGCAGTTTTGCGTACAGTTTATATCGAAAATTATACGTAAACTAGTGAGTTTTTCGAGTTTCTAGGGCGTCATAAAAAATAATTTCTTCCTGGCATTTTGCAAGCACGACTGATAGTCAAACCACCTCTAAAGATGCAGGATACTCGTGCTTGGAAAACATCAGATTAAAAGTATTTGTCACGACGGCCTACAAGTCTGGGAAACTCACCAGTTTTCTTAACAGCGCCTCAAAAAACTTCTTCATTACTAACTTCAAGCCTCCTTCGTATTTGCAGGGACAGAAAATAAGCATTGAATATTTATATGAAATAGAGGAAATAATTTTGTTAAACAGCCCATTTACATAGTACATTTTAAATAAGATATCCAAACGAAGCAACAACAAAGGCAAAAAATATTTAATGCAATATTCAATAGCTCAGTATGTAAGCTTTAAACGAAGCATTTTAAGAGACAAATATTCGCATACATACCCATTTTGTTTCCACTTTTGGTATTTGTTTTCATAATATTGCCGGTTTACCAGTTGTTTAAATAGCAAATTGGCTGATTTGGTCTGCGCAAGAAAAATCCCGTAAGTGACTGAATCTCTTTTGAAAACCAGCGCGTTTCGCTCAGCAATGACATCATCAGTCACATTCATTCCTAATGCGGGTTTATATTCGTCGATATAATACATGGTATTGTTAAGGATTATATGGCCGTAGAAGTTTCCCTCCTTTACATAGCCGTTAACTGAACTGGTTTCTGGATAATTGCTGATATATCCTTCATATAAATTGCTAGTTTTCCACAAGTTACCACTCCAAGTAAAATTATCGGCTAATATTTCGCTGTCTCTTTGCTTTATGTGCACGGTCAAGGGTTTTCCATCATTGGACAGATTAATATCAAATAAAAATTCTGGCCTGGATGATACTAGCACATCGCGTTTTTCTCGAAAATTGTTATTTACTTCGTAAATCTGCGAACCGCTAAAATGATAGTCATGGATAGTTACGGTGTCCACTTGGAAAATTGAGTGCACCAGTGTAAAATCCAGGAAAGATGTAGAAAGTAGAATCAACATGTACTTTGGAAACTGCATGCTTGTGTAGACATGACTAAACATGAAACATGACACTGATTGATGAAAATTTAAGAAAAGCTGCAGGTAGTTTTCGTTTTGTTAATTTCACAAATTTCAAGTTTGAGTAAATTTTAATGAAAATTAATTGTAAACGACGTTAATGCTTTTTTCTTTCAGAGGAAAGTCAAACAAGCAAGCGAGAGGGATTTCAGATATCAGGTAGGATTTTTTGTTATACCTAATTTCACATAAGATTAATAATATACAATGTGTTTCATGAGGAATGGGCATTATTTGAACCACTGATTCTAGGTCCGAAAATAACCCCAGTTTGCTTTATAGTGTTGAAATTTAATTTAAAAAGTACATGATTAATTTCTTCAAAACTCATGGAGCTACTTTAACGAAATTTTCCAGACATCAATTGCTAGGAAATACGAATGTTTTGCAATAAAATAATTTTGTTCATTTTTGCCACGGGCATCCGTAACTGCACGCTTCTGAATTTACCGATAATGTTTAGAATTTCATAGACAATTTTGGAAAATAAATACTTTATACGATGGCAAACACCAACGCGAATGGCAGGCATTTTATGAATATTCAGCTGTTATTATAATTATATGGTGCAAATGAGTAACTCTCTTAATACGAGCCCGATTTGGATCATTGAAAATTTAGATCGTCTAAAGCGAGTCATTTTGTCTAAAAATCTTATTTTGCAAAATTGAAAGCCGTTGAGAAACAGTCATAGGGGTTTTAAGGTCGATAAGACGATTTTGCAAGGCAAATGTTTTCTATCAATTCTTTTGAGGGTTTAATTATCTGATTTTTCTTTTTGTCTGTAGGAAAACAGCTTTTTGTCTGTCGGAATTTTCTGCATAACTCTTAATGCCGGGTTTATTTCAAAATGTTGAAATTTGTTGAAACACGTACGATTTTCTATAAAAACTGTATCTTGGAAAATTACAATCGATTGAAAAACGTTATGATGATTTGCAGGTCGAAAAGATGAATAAAATACTTTGATTTTTTACCTCGATTAACTCGTTTTCAAAATCGAACATTGAATGGTTTATCAAAGTGTATTCTCGACACATTCCCTGTCTATAAGAAATTTTTTATTTGCAACAGTTTTGGAAGGAAACTGGCTCTAAATKTATCTCTATTTATCTACTAATTACTCTAATTTATTAAATTTTTAATCCCAAAATGTATTTTGAGGAGCAACTGAATGGTTTGCAAAGAAAATTTGMAATGCATTTTTTTAAATTATTTTGGATATTTTCGATTTTTTTTTAAATTGCAAATGTGCAAATTCTYCACTWAAGAGTTGAATTTATTAGAACCGACGGAGACACTGAAAGGTCTGGAGTTAAATCAGCTGACAGAGAAAATCGTCGAAATTATTCGAGTTGCAACAAAGAAAGTCTGCACGTTTGGAAGGCAGTGAAACCCGAAACTCATTCTCGCACAACCAGACTGGAAGAACGCAATGTGATGGATAGCGATGCACCGGAGTACCTCCAGCTAGTAACGAGAGCGATTCGTAGTGACTTAAAAGCGCACAACTCACGGATGATTCGAGAAGCCACTGAGGACAAGATGAACATGAGGGACCTTCGTTCCAGAACGGCTAGAGGAAAATCACTCATATACATGATCAGGATCGAGCGGGGCGTAGTTGTGTCAGGGAAAGGCGAAATCGTTGCGATCATCGAGAACTTCCATCGGAGACTATAAACCCAGTCAGTACCAGAACCTGACTATCTCCGCAAAATCAGAGAGAAAAGATCGTCGGTTCCGAGGAGATCCCAGAAATTGATGGGTCAGAGCTAAGAACAGCATTAAAAGAGATGAGAAATCGTAAAGCTCCCACAGAAGACCAAGTGACGAGTGAGATACCGAAGTCTGGAGGAGAAACTGAACAAGGCACAACTCATTATCTTTAACAAGTGCCTCGAAGAAGGAAGGATTCCAGAGGCATAGAGAAATGCTGAGGTCACCATCCTTTTCAAGAAGGGCGACTCTACAAACATCGAGAATTACCTCCTCTCAGTGTTATACAAGCTCCTTACCAAAATAATCACCAACAAGCTCCACTTTTACCATCCTGGAGCGCAAGCTGGATTCAGGAAGGGGTAGGTACAGAACGATAGACCACATCCAGACAGCACGCTGATCGATAAATCCACTGAACACAACATCCCACTACACCTGGCGTTGGTCGATTACCAGAGATCTTTCGATTCTGKGAAGATTTGGGCAGCTCTACATGCGATGGCCGCTTCGAGGATTCACTCAAGACACTAGAATCTCATCAGATATATATATATGTACATGCCACTCTCCACGAGGATCCCTATTAARAGAGGAGTTAGACAAGGCGAAACCTCGTCAAAACTGTTCACAMTAGSGCTACAGGACRTGTTTAAAAACCTGACATGGTAGAAAAAAGACATCAATATCGATGGGACATTCCTGACTCACCTACGTTTAGCTGACGATATKGTCCGGCTGAGCGCTGATGCCGACCAGCTTGGACCCATAATGAGAAGGCTGAAGAAAGCGTGGGAGWCAGTCGCCCTGAGGGTGACCCTCCAAAAGACTAAGATCATGAGTCAAAGTGAGATCCAGGACACACTCGACAAGCACACGCTTGAAGTTGTTGAAAAGGATGTGTACCTTGGCCACAACATTAAGATTGGCAGGAACCACCAGGCAGCAGAAATATCCAGGCGAATTGGCCAGACGTGGGCGGCTTTTGCAAAACTTGACCACATCCTCAAAAAACCGGTCATACCCATCAACCTGAAGTGGAATGATGATTTTCAGAGCCCCATATATGACTGTTCTGTTTATTCACGTAACCACCGAGCGAAAAATGAGCCTCATCGCTGCAGAAAATTCGGTTCGAAAAATCATCATCAACGGCTTGTTGTTCAATCACCCAATTTGCGTATGTTCTATGTTGCCCATGTTCTTGAGTCAGTTGGACTTTGTACGGATGCAGCTTCAAATCCAATTGAAAAATTCGCCACAATGAGCCGTAAGACAAGCCCAAATGTTGAGCACGTCGGGGAATCGACGAATTCGGGTGTTCCTCCACACTTTGAGCAAAAACAGCGATATTTTCAGCTGATCTAATGTTGCGATGATGCTCAGGCTTTACAATATCAGTAACCGATCCAGTCTCTTCAAATTTTTTCACTGTGTTCGGAATTGTTTGCTCTGTGGGTCGATTATGTCGACCGTAATCTGCTCGTAAAGCCCTAAACGTTGATACAGCAGAATCACCATTTTGTTAGTAACGTGGCAAAAACTTCTGGCCGCTGAAATTCCCTAGCATGAATCGTTTGGCAAAAATAATTTGTTCAGAGTGTGAAATTTGGCAAAAATATGCCAATTTCTAATTAAGTAGGCCAGGATCACTTGCAGCTTTTTAAGGAGCTATCCGCAAACCAATCACAGCTACCTTTAGGCATTTTGCTCCCGATTCTGTGCTATTTTAGCATTTGAATAAAGCCAAGATTATCTGCCAACACAATAAATCAAGTAATTTGAAAATTAAATGCAACAATTAAAAAATATAGTGATGTAAAAATAAAACGCACGCCACTGGCAAAATTTGGCAAAACTATTTTATTGGAAAACATGCGTCTTCCCTAGCTATTGATGCCTGGAAAATGATGTTAAAATATCTCTATGCGTTTTGAAGAAATTTATCATTTTACATATGTTTTATTAAATTTCAACACCGTGTTAAACCCTAACGAAGCATTTTTGGCCTATAGTTCATATAGCAAACTACGGTTATTTTCGGACGTAGAGTAGGTGGTTAAAATAATACCCCTTCTTCATGGAACACCTTGTCTAGAACTATTAAATTATTTGCGCGGCTCCCTTCTCATTTCTTATACATGGTAATTTAAGTACGTAAATTTTATAATGAAACTGGAGGTGTCCAAGGCTCGTATTTTTCTATTTAAATTGAAGCTAGATCTGAATAAAACAGGGCTTGTTTATATTTTTGCGATTCCATCATGCCTAATAGCGTTTGTCTTTTTTTATTATCATCATATTTGTTAAATCGTCTTTAAGTTATCAATAAATTTCCAGATTTCCAGATACTTTTATTGACTTCCTTCATTGTTCTAGGGCATTATGAGAAACTTGGTCAGACGATACGTAACAGTTGAACAACGGAAAGCTGAAAACCAAGGGGTGACTGAAGATGACGTGAATGAAATCAAGCAGGACATATCCGCATTCCGGTTCGAGCTGATCGAAATCCTGAAAAACTCTGGAATGAACACCAGTACTGCCCACAGTGGCATGGGTAGGAAAATGCTGACTTAGTCACGATTTGCTGCGTGCTAAGGGGTGATTTTTCAGGAACGGGCGGTAAGAAAAATAGGCAGAAAGAACGAAGACTGATGAAAGGCTTCAATATAGCTCCTCAACCTTCCACTACGTCGTCTTCCACACTACCGCCAGTAGCTGAGTTTATAGCTTCTCTTCAAGGTATCAGCAGTTATTCAAGTTTATCAACATTTAGAAACGTATATATAAATAATATGACCTCTCAGGACATCATCATGAAGGCCACCACGACTTCTTCGGCTCGACGCTATCAGGCATCTTCAGCTCCACCCCGCGCAGACTGACCCAGCACAGCAGCACTGTTTCTTCAAGCCAAGGAAGCATAAATGATGGCCACGGTCATCATCATCATCACCACCATCATCATCGAGGTCTGGGAAGGTAAATTTTGAGATTATGTGATTTGTGATAGTGTTCTTTATATCCAATTTTTGCTTCCAGACTGCACTTTAAGAGAACCGGTTCCCACAAGCGCAGATGGGGCACCTTGATTGAAGCAGCAAAAACTGGAAAAGTGTCCAGACTAATCGGCCGATCGCGCTCAGAAGACTCTGTATGTAATAATTGCAAGGAAAATGGACATAATCACAGCCACAGCAACAGTCCTGCTTCTGATGAAAACGGTAAACACATTTCGAGATTTTTGTGCGCATGGAACGCACAACATCAAGTTATTGAGCTTCGAATCACAAAATGTAGACTTTAACTGTAGAATAAACTGTAAATTCCAGGCTCGATCAGTGGAACAGACTCCAATCAAAGCATGGAAAATACTAGCCGAGATCAGGATCATCCAGAGCCAGAGCTGCATGGTCTGGCCCATGGCTTGGCCTTGCTGAAGAAGAAGCGCAAGAAATTTTCGGCTTCCCGAAACACTAGTCCTATTGTAGTTCCAAATAGCACCATAAGTGAAACCATTTCAAAGAAATGTATGCCTCCGAAAAATGTAAGTTATTTCGCGCAGAAATTTGTAGATACCAGTTTGTGATCAAGTGCGATTTTGAAGCGAAAGAATTGGCATGGTTGCAGTTATTTTAGGTTGATAACACATTTGCCATTGGGCTCAATATAGCTTTCGTCCTAAGCACTTCAATATATGTTTACATAATGCTTGCGTGTATAAGCATGAGAAAAACCGAACGATAAAATCCCTGAGTAAAAATGATAAAATGGTCTGTAAATTCTCAAGTACTATTGAAGCAAAGAAGTTTTTAGATTAGTAAATAACAACTCACACGATACATTTTCTCTATCAAAATTTAATAAATTGCAGATTCCTCAAGTGTTAAAGAGAGCTTCCAGTGTACCAACTCGTGTTCCAGAAGTTATTTCCCAACCAGTATCTCGTCATGAAAAAACTCAATCTCAACAGGGCTCCATCGAGATACCACCAGCCAGTAGCGGGCCAACTATAACTCCTTCAACGACTGGTAAGGACTCGAATTATAAGCAACGTCCTTTAAAATTGTTTTTAAAAAATGCAACTTATTACGAGCAGTAAGCTTACAACTTAACGTGTGCATACAGAATAATGTATTTGTTGCAATTGCCATAATTATAAATTGTGTATATTTTCCTGACTGTAATTCAACTTAATTCAAAAGAAATTCCTGGGTTCCAGTCAGTTTTATTGTTTACCATTTAAAATATTACAAAAACGTTTCGGTGTTTTTATCCGCCATCATCAGTTTGTATGTGTGGTTGTTTCTACCTTCACATTTGGTAAGCCATTGAAAAATCGTTCTTTCTTTGGCATTTCTTTTCTTTTATTCATAATTTTTCAATGGCATACCGAATGTGAAGGTAGAAACAACCATACATACAAACTGATGATGGTGGACAAAAACACCGAAACGTTTTTGTAATATTTTAAATGGTAAACAATAAAACTGAATTTCTTTTGAATTTAAAATAATTATAAACTTAGGCTGAAGCAAAATCAGCATTCTAAGTAGGGGAGAGTGGGGCACCACGAGACACCGGCCACCATGAGACTTTGCAATATTTTCTTTTACACTAAGTGTAGACATTTATTATGAGTGAATGAGTGAAGTGAATCAATGAAGTGTTGCTTCGGTGGTAAAGTTTATTCCGGTCTAAACCAGTCTCACTTTTCTCTCAATCACTCAATCAGTCTTGACTAAGATTTCGACAAAGACGCATGTGAGCGGAGACTTTTTTTTTCACGTGTATTATTCTGAGCTAATTTTTTTAGTGAAAACATAAAGTTAAAGGTAAGAAATTTAAGTTGTAGCTATAGTGTTGTAAGTGCTTTTTATTTGTATAAAGAAACTTTGTGATTTTAAATCAAATTTACCGAAAATTTGAAAAAATGTTATAACGTGTAAATCGGCTACCATAAGACACTGTCTTATGGAAAAACTTTTAAGCTTTAATAATTAATTGGGCGATTTTGTATCTTTAGATGCCCAGGGGTCGCAAAATAAAGTCCCAGAAGGGTATATTATCAGAAGAAAATATGAAAGGAGCAGTCCAAGAAGTTTTAGTGGGAGTGAGTGGAGTAAAACTGTCATTGCGAAAAGCATCTGATCGCAATGGTGTTCTTTTCAAACACTTCACAGATATGTGAGGCTACCCAAAAGCTTGTAAAAGAAAACTCTCTAATAGTAAAAGATAAAAAGCAACAAGTATCATCCCTACGGATACTCCAGAAAAAGAGAAAATTGAAATAAAATGCAAAGAAAAAGAAGAAAGAGAAAGATAGAAGTTTCCAAAAAAGAAGCAGCGAAGAGAAACGTTTTTTCAAAGGATTTTAAAAAATTAACAAAGAAGATGTCTTCCAATGACGACGGAGAAGATTCCATTTGCGAATTCACACTACGATTCTGATTGGATACCTGAACCCGATCCAACTGCGTTCGAGGAATTAGATAGACCACCCAAATAAGATGATTTTGTGTTAGTTGAGTTTAATAATTTAGAATAGGAAGGTTTTCTTCGTAGGAAAAATTATTACTTGGCGACACATCCGAAGAAGTTAAAGTTAGTTTTTTAAGGAAGTCGGGGAAATTCAGAGGGCATTTTGTAATCACTGATCAACCTGATATTGGGACTGTTGTCTTAAAAGACATAAAAATTATTTTGCCTTGTGCTTTAGGTAAAATAAAAGTATTGCATTCCTATTATAAATTTGAGCTAAATTTTAGCATTTTTAATATTCGTTAAGTGTTTTTCAAAGAGTAAAATTAGAAAATTTGTAATTTCTTTTGTTTTAATTTTGTTTAAGCCCAGTTTGAAGCTAATTAATTTAATATACAAGATTAGAATAGCAATATGTGACAATTTTGAAGTTATCGTTTTTTTATTGATTTACTTCAAAGACTTACAAAAAAATTAAACAATAAAAAATCTATAAATTCAAAGTAATTATGTGCTTTCCACCGTTGCGTACATAAATAAATGCAATTCCGACCAGCTAATCAACTTTTCTGGACGATCAAGTAAAGTGTTTGGAAAAAAAGCCACTTTAACTTTTTTAGTCTTATGGTGGCCCACTCCCCTACAATGCGTGTGGGCTGGCAGTTAAACCTGTTAGCAGGAAAAGTGTATGTATGATACTCTCGCATCTTGTACACATTGTAATGAAATTATTTACAGTTAAAATAATTAATAATAAACGATATAACCGAAGGCATTTGAGACGCATACATGAATTGTTTTGATAAGGCCATTTGCCACTTACTTTTAAGCATTTCTTGCTCTAATAAGGAAGATCTTTTAAAGCGATTATCTGAGTAGGAGCAATAGCGGCACTTTTAACCATATTCGAATGAAAATAGTGTATTTCCAAAAATTTGGTCTTTAATGGTTTCTTATTGTAAACAAATGAAGCAACGAAATGTTACGAACCATTAGAACAAAAAAACGGTTAAAAATTCGATACTTTAACTACCTTATTAACTTAAGGTGAAGTTTTTTTTTGTTTTTATTAGTTATTTCAAAAATATGAAAACATAAACTTTATTCAAGGGGGGCAGCTCTCAACACGTATGGGCCTGAAATGCCCATGGGATTTTAACTGAAACAATTTCATTTTGAATTGAACTTTATTTTTTAGTTATAGCTGTTCATTGAATACATGATCCTTAACATGATCTGATTGATGACATACTTTGTAAAGTCAGCATCAGCAAATTATTGACTGCAACTTATACGAATCTTCGTTTTTTTTAATATTTTTCGTTATAATATTTGACTGTGTATTCTTTTTGATCAATTTTCTGTGCAACTTGACTAAAACATAGTCGTTTTCATTGACTAATTGTGTAAACTTTTCATCGTCAGTTTCAATTTTTCAATTTTTTATTGGGTTTTTCATATTCCACTTGAAAATGACTTTTCTATTTTGGCAGCCTTCTCTCAGCTCCTTCTTCTATGCGATTCTTCTCAGGCGTTTCTGTAAGAACTTGAGAGATTCTGATTGATAAAATTGAAAAATCAATCATCGGTGAATGCATTTCTATCAACAGGCCACGTACCGGTCGTGGAAAACCCCGATAGAATATTTTTAATAGTGAAAGAACTGGAATAAGCCACATTTGCCAATTTGAGTAGATCATGTAGGTACAGCAAGTGATCCAATAAGGGACTGCAAGTAAAATGCACCATTAACAATTTGTATGTATTATATTATGTTTTTATATTAATTATGTCACATAATAAGATTCTCTACTTCTTCTTAAGACATAATCCTTTGTTCCAGAAGAAAGTTTCACGGCAACCATACCTACTGGTTTACCTGGGGCGAATGGTTCTTCTCGCGAACCACTCCTGTATACTTCCTCATCCAGCAATCCACCAACAGGATCCACTCAAACCCCAGACGAAGAGTGTAAGCAGACTCAACACATTTTACCGAAACTTCCTGGAGTGATTCCTTTAAGTGGCCATAATCATAACACCGGATGGCTTTAGTATGATGCTTAGTGTAGGCACATAAGTAATAAGGGTAGTTTTTTATTTATAGAATCGAATACATGTACAAGATGGCCCGAAATATCATATTGCAACTTTATTTTGCGTATAATTTTAATGAATATCATTTTGTACTCATATTTTTCGGTGAATAACACGTTTTTTTGCACGCAGAGCTCAACTAATCACATTAAATTTTATTTCGTTTTTACGCTAGAAATGTGGCTTCCCAGAAAATACCTCAATATCTCAACGACACAGCGGAAAGTTTTTACAAAATTAATTTAAGATGCAAGACAAAACTAATCCTTACAGCTAGACCATACGATGATCAACGGTTAACATTTTTAAAATACTTATCAGCTGGGTTTAGCCTGAAATTAGCGACCGCGAGATCTGCACTTGAATCACCCAGTGTACTGTGAAATTCTACTTTAATTATTCGTTTCTTTATAGTACTAAGCAAAAAAATAGTTAAAAGAATTGAATTTTTCGGGCCGATCAACGATTGATCTTCACTTAAGCCACGTTCCTTTTAAAATATATCTTGTATATTTGACTAATAAATAAACTCGAAATAATAGATTTTAAAGTATAAATCAATGGAACACACGGGCCAATGCTTTGAAAAATATCTTTTATCAGTGTATACAAATTTCCAAGATTTAATATTCCAAGATTATTTTTTTAGCGCCGTTTAGGTGTTCCATTGACAAATATACGCAACAAATCAAATTGGAAATGGAATTGCTAAAGGACCATTTATAACGAAAAAACAGCAGGGTTAAATGTTGTAATTTGTTCCATGTTAAAACTTGTTCAGTGGTGGTCCCAGAGTTTTCCATAGATTACGTATTTTAAATAATTGATAAGTAAATTAAGTAAAATAAGTACTAAACATTTTAAGGAAAGATCTTTTCGTAAAACGATTTTCAACTCCCAGGCATCAAAATTTTATCGTTGTCTTTTGCATGATTTAACTGTTTGTTTTATCTGCAGATTTTTCACTTCTCAAAACTTCAACTTAAAACTAGTCTTCAGTAATAGGGTATTTTCTTCCACGTGCAAAGGCCCTATTGTAATACTACATACATCTATTATACATGATTGCCTAAAATTAATTTCGATTTGTTGGCATATTTATAATTTATTTTAAAAGTTGATAACTTTTTGGTAATTTTATACGAGACATTATTTATAAAAAAAATCCGTAAGTCTTTTATAATAGTTTTCTACAATATCGTGCCTTTATCGGTTTTAGGTAAAGTATTTTTAAGATAACGAAAATATCCGCCATATGTACCCGATCTAGTAGAAATAATTAATGTATTTTAATCAAAACTAGTCATAAGAAGTTACTGCGGAAATAGGATATAGCAAAAAAATTAAGTTGGAAGGTGGTAATTTATTAGTTTTTGAGGAGATGATCATTGGTACTTTCTTAGTCCTTATGTCCGTGTATAATCTATATAATAGTAAAATTTATTTATGTGCTAATTAACTTGACGATCTCATAACTAAGATAAGATTTTTTAGAAACGTTCGTGGCATCAACATTGCGCTTTCCATATGTATTATGTGCAAGAAATACTTATAATTAAAATATTCAGTAAATGAGTAATAGAAAACATATGACGCGCAAATCGCTCCATAGCATATATAATAAAACAGCACCTACAAAAGTAAAATCGAAAACGCACAAATATGTAGGTAGTTTAAAACGGCCTTGAAGAATGGATCTAAAGTAACGCATTTTATCTCATTTAAAATTTAACTACAGGTGATTACTATACTATGTATTTATGTTAAGTTTCAAAAGTCATCCAAGACAACTGTTTCCAGGGATATAATTTATAAAAAGGTTTATAAAAGTAAAATTTGCTGAAAATAGTAGTTTAGTTCATTTTCCTATGCTTGCTTTAAAATAAGCGGGCAAACTAACCCAGATGATGATTTCAGGTAAAAAATAACGCAAATGGATCGAAAGCCAATATTTATTTCCATAATAATCAATCAGTTAGTAATTGATCGGAGCATTAATTGTTTAAAATTTAATTATCCCATTATTCCTCTGCTTTCTGTTGATCGTCCTTTTTTCTTGAAAAGTGTGACAGGTTTCGCCTCATCGAATACGCATCCTCACCGTCTGCATAATATTTTGGTTCAATCTCAACAGTTTCAAACTTCAGGGAGTTTTTGTAGAGATTCAAGGCAGCCCTGTTACTTTTTCTCACGTGTAACGATACGTATTTGGCGTCGAAACATTCAACCATCGCTTCTGAGGCTTGATCCATTAGCTTTTGTGCTAAACCCAAACGTCTATGCGATCTCTTCACTGCTAAAGATGTAATGTGCCCATGTTTCAAATCTTCCTGGTCTTCTTCCATTTTTGCCAGCACGTAACCGACAATCTTCCCTTGATAATAATAATAATATTTATTTGAAGTTTTTTTATAGATTAAAAAACACATTAGCTATAATTATTAAATGAAAAAGGGGAAACATACTTTAATAAAACACTGGAAATGTTATTTTTTACAATTCAATTCCCAAAAGAACTTAATCTTATTGGTCTGTCATTCGCTCTTACCACAAAACTTGATAGCTTACACAACGTCACATGACTTTCCTTCTACGTTACTAAAGGTAAGTAGACCATGTTCTCAAGAAATTTTAAAACAATGTTATTTTGCGTACTTTTATCGCTCTATAATACCTCAATATTTCAATAAACTGATGAAAAAGAATAAGCGATTAATTTCGTTTAGGTCGGTTTTAATTAAAAAAAGTACACATTATGAAGAGGCTGCAAATGAAATCGAGCAAGTAAAAATAAAAATACGAAAACAGTAATTTTAAAATAATAGCTCTATATGACAATGCCTAAAGAAATCAGGAGACTGATAAATGAATATTATTCAAACTGAAAAGTCTTTGGAAAACGATCAAACAAACCGAAATAAACTATGACTTGCTTGCTTTGAAGTTTCTCTGATGAATCAATATATGCAGCAGAATGATCTTTAATCACCAAAGCGTGGAAAATATATTATTTGCTTACGTGCTTAAATCTGCTTACCATTTTCATCCTCAGCAACATAGCTGAGTTGAGGCCAGCTTAATCCATGGTAAAAGTAGTACTTCATTTGATAGTTTTCAGGCAAACACAATAAATTGCAGTGCTGCATATTCATTAAATCTTCTGGTTTAGCGCACCTTATATTCATTGTAAGTAGATCCTTATTGCTGTGGAAAAAATCAGAGGTTAAGGCAATTTGGGCAATATTTTCAGTGTGTTGAGCGGCAACTGTGTTCAATGGACTGAGAAACTTTCAATTGTCTGCTTGCTCTCGATTGAAAGTTGGATTTTTCAAGCAAAGAGTGCTTTTGGGCGAAAACCTCCATTTTTATTCCAAGTTTGCCACGTCGGCAAAAATCAGGGATTAAGGCATGTATTTATAAACGATACTGCAGCCAATAATCAGCTCATGCTTCGCCAAGTACGAACTCGTGCTCGACCAAGAGATCGATTTATAAACAGTACTTCGTGAATTCTCGTCGAAATATCGGTCGAGTATAAGTTTTTAGAGACTTTCGTATTTATTTAGTAATTTTATATTGGGGCTGTTGGCGAACTTTGCGAAGCTAAGATGGCGTCAACGTTATTATGTATTTTGGAGCGCTGAAAAACTGACTTATATCACGAAGATCACCGGACACAAGCTACAATATAATATACACTTTATGTAAGAAAGTAGACATGAAATCATAGAAAATTTGCTACTTGCTATAGAATTTATAGAATGGAAAACTACTTGTTGCATATAATCTTAAACATACCAGCAATTGAGTAATGGGTGATATTGTGATATTGGTAGTCCAGGATTGTCCGCTTATATATTTTACTAACTAACACGTGCTCTCAATTTTCTCCTCTATTACGCTCTATTAAGCTTGAGCACTGGCTTGAGCATGATAAAGGTTTATAAAACGCAGTCAACGCCAAGTCTGGTACTTGAGGCTCGGCTCAGGCTTGAGCATCGTTTATACATATGGACCTAAGTCAATTGAGGCAAAATTTTCAGTATTTTGAGCTGTGACGGTCTTATATGGACTGTGAAAGTTTCAAGGGTGTGCTTGCTCTAGATTGAAAGTTGGGATTTTTTAAGCATAGTGCTTTTGGACGGAAACCCCCATTTGTATGTCCACTTTTCTACGTCGGCAAACATCAGGGATTAAAGCGATTGGGGGAAAATTTTCCGTATTTTGAGCTCTAACTGTCTTCTATGAACTAGGGACAAAGGTTATAGTTATCTGAGAATTACTAGAAATAAACATGCGGAAAACACATTGGTCGCGTTTAAGAATAAATGGTGAAACCCTGAAGTTTGAACTAATTAACAAAAATGCTAATGTTTAAAAATAACATGAATCTATTAATAAATTGGAGAAACCGGTTGACATAAAAGGAAATGCAACTATTATCGCAAGTTTTAAAATACCTCCCAGTATTTACATCATAGATGAACACGCTTACCTAATATACCTTAATTAATTAAAATCAGTCTTTTCTAGTCTTCTTGGTTTTAGATTGCCTCGGCGGTGGTGAATCTTTACTGTCCTTAGCACTGTTCAGTAAGTCTCTGACAAATTTAAACCTGCTCAAGACCAGAACCCACAATAAATACCAGCCTGGAAGCAAAGGAAAATGTAGTAAGAAAAACATACTCCAAATAAAACAGTAAATGAACTGAGGGTTTATTGATATCTTAGGGCGAGGAGGAAAATTCGAGTTCAACATACTAACAAAATCTCAATGTTGAAATAACGATACAATTTTGGGCATATGATATCGAACTTTTGTCTCTTGAGAACCATATAAGATATTTTTTACCTTTTAATGATATTTAAGGATTTTCTACTTTTTTATTTCGTTCGTCCCTGCTTCAGTTAGATCAAATGTTCAGAATTCAACAAGTATTTTATTTGGACCAACTTTGGTAAATATTGTACGTAATACGTATTATATAATGTACATATAGTATACAGTATTTTGCTGCCTTGCGGATAACAGTACAGTAGAATTTGGTTCTATTGAGTAAATTTATTTGGTATTTCATTGGGTAGTAACGTTTGCTGCTTAATTAACTGGCAAATTTCCAAAAGATAGAGGCGCTACCACGTTTAAAGTGTTACACCCACCTATTTACAAAAAAATACAAATGGTTTTTACAATAACTTCAAACATATGAACCAAGAACCAAGAAAACGTTTGATTTATCGTGAACTGAGTATGAATTAAACAGAAACAATTAACAAAATCAATATAAAAATTGCAGATTTAATGCAAAAGTTACTGCAAAGAGAACAAAGGAGTTCTGAATGTTTTAACCTAGAACATATGAAAATATCGCTTACCAAAAGCCACAAAGAGTACCACAACAAGCACCGCCAAAAGTAATGATAAAATTACAAGAAAAAAATCGTTCATATCTATTCCTACCCTACAAAACTAAATAGAAAAAAGCAAAAATGTTATGTGGCAATTCACATGTATCCAATAGCGCCATGTTGAATGATAAAGAGATTTTCTTCGATAAACAATTTCTTTACAAAAACTCTCACCTATAATGATGTTAGAATTAAGCGAACAACACGGTATAATGGGTACTTACCGAAATTAACTTCGAAAAAAGTGGAAAACACTGAATTTTCGAGTTTACTAGAATCTGTAAGTCAAAATTAAAAATTTTCATATATGCAACCAAACAAACCAGCTGATTGTTACCAGGACGTAGGAAATATCTCAAAAATTTAACTGGACAATCCGGCATCGCCGCAGCTCCAAGGCATTTTGATTTAATATAATATTTTATAATTACAAATCCAGTCGAAATTGTATGGGGTCATTTTCTGCACCAATTTTTGAATTATGAAATTTTAAACAAACTAAAATAAAAATGTCTTTTGTAATCAAGGTTTTTAATTACACAGCTGCCGGCTTGGTCATTTCCTAATATAGCATTCTCGTTTTTTCACTTTGTAACTTTAGGAATGAGGTTAATGACATGAAAAGTCAAATGGCTTCTGTTTATTAATGTCAATGCGGCTAAAATAGTAAATAAGTCATTTTTAACACATCTTCCACAAATATATTTCTTTATACAAACTAGCCTCTAGTTTATTCTGTTTACTCCACATCTCAAAGTTTTGGAACCATCAGCATGTTAGAAGACAAGATTTTAAAAGGCTTGGAAGACATTGGGTGAGTGAAACAGGCCACAAAAAAAATTATTATTTGATGTTATATTCGGTTTATACTAATTTTACTTGTATAATTTTGTGATATTTGTGTGTGAGGATATGCCTTGTGTAACCCCCAAGGTACTCTAGGCTTTCATCTATTTCAATATTTAAATTTATTAATTGCATGTCTGGTTTTTAGTCTGCATGTGTTCTTCCTTGGAATAATCCATATATATATCTAGGTCTTATTGAAAAAATCACTCTAAAATGATCACGTTATAATGTTGAAACAGGCATCTGCTCGTACGTGCACTAGACACTACAGAAATTAGTCAGTTTTACTTTCTCAGCATTAATAACTGATGTTTTTTGGGGACAATAATTGATGATAACGTTAATAAAAGTTTACCTGTGAAGGCCTAATAACTGCAACCGAATATGGATAGATTTTGCTAATTATTATAATTAATATATTTGGCATAGAAACGTTTTTTTACTGCTTGACGGCAGCTTTCAAGATATTGAGCCGAAAAGTCGCTCATGGACACACGTTTTCGGAAATTCAAGTCGTATTAGGAGTTTTAGTTTAGGAACATTGTTCAATTTGTTTTGATTCTGTTTTTCTAGACAGCTGAAAATTCGCATTTTTTCTTTCAATGGACCATTTAGAAAGATTATTGTTAGCTATGTTGTAGTATAAAATCGAAATGGACCTTAGGCGACCAAAAACTGTTCAAAAGTCTAAATGACCAATCTTAAGTTTCATTAGGACTCTAGCATTCGAAGATTTATAAGCACACATTATGTCAGGTTTTATTCTAATGAATTACCTCTATTTAAAAAAAGTGTATCGCAGAAACAGTTGGACAAAACAGTTGGACATATGGAACTAGTAATATGGACCTTTGCCAGCTCATCTCGAAAGTGTGTTTTTCGCGAGTCAGTGTTCGCTTATTAGTCGCAAAAATGTTTAAGCTCTAAAGACAAAATATAAAGTTTAAACATATTTCGGAAATGATCCAAATCTGCTCGTTCTAAGATCCATTTCGATTGCGAATTTTGAGAGCTTTTAGAAACCATTCGAAATAAAACGAAATGTCTAAGCTGCAAAAGTCAACATATGATGAATTTTTAACAATTTTCATTGATATATCGGAAATCGTAAAGACCAGACCAATTCCAAATCGAAAAGAATTCGATTTTTTCCGATAGAGCAGCTAAAATTGCATTGTTTGCTAATTAGGCTTTACTAGAAACTCCGAATCTCTCAACAGTAAAATTTAGAACTTTTTTAATAAAGGATAATGGAAATTACATTTAAAATACCCTGCCAAGGTTTTTAAATAATTCAAAAAAATTGATGACAAACCTGATATTTTCTGAAGAAATTTCAGCAAAAATTACGTTTTTATGTTAAATCTCCTGCGGATCTTTATATCAGCATTTTACTGAAAAATGTATGCACAAGACGCCATCCAGCAAGATTTTTTCTATGCCCAAAAATTGAATCAAGTTAACTAAACATAAAATTAAGCTTAAGCAAAAATCAAGCTAACTAAACATAGAATTATGCTTAACCAAAAGTCAGTTGAATATAAATATTCAATTTAGCTGATTGGATGTCTTAATCCGGAAAACCCTTCAAGGCATTCTGCTCAATCGCCTAATTACTAATACTTAATTGATTTTAGGTATTCTGGTCCTCTTTGTAAATATTCTGATCTTCATGATGCATGTGAAATTGGACCAAAAGATAAATCGTATACCAAACTAGTTCAATTTCTCTCAAATGAAATTCGAATTCTGCTTAGTATTGATGAAGAAGTGAATGAGATAACATCGCCTGAAGATTCGGTGGCTTTTGTGATGGAGGTTACATCATTTTTAAAGGAATTAAGTATGTTTTTTGCGTGATGGTGATCGTTCGAAGCCTATTTATTTACGTTTAATTGGTTTTAGATTGTCCTTATAAATGTTTAACACATGGCTTAGTGTCGGAGAGACTTCAAAACTATGCAGAAAAGGTTCTTTTGGTAGATTATTTGGTTACTGAGTTAATGGGGGCCAGGATGCTGCAAGATCGAAAGCCTGATAAAAAAATAGAACTGAAACTGGTAAATTTGTAAAAAAAGTTAACTCTTAATTTTTTAATATCATGTTTTGTTTTAGCAAGAAACACCAGAAGGGGCTGATATGCGCCTAATACTACAGACTTTACGTTTTCCTAAACCACCACCGAATATTACTGTAAAACAGTTATTTGATAAGCTTGTAACCACGATTCCCTTGGCTTTGAAGAAAGCTGGTGCTGATCTGATAGGGAAAGGCATTTTCAATGGTTTCCTATCTGATGAGCAATGGGGAATTTTGAAAGGTGTTCAAAGCGATTTAAATAATGAATACAAAATTAGAAGGGAGATGATGCTGACCAGGCTCGATGTCACCATTCAGTCTTTTCAGGTATAATTTTCTTCTCATTTGAGCCGCTTGAATACCGAAATGTGAACTGTGTTTCAGTGGTCGAATAGAACGCAAGGCAAAGAAGCAGTATTTGAAAAAATATATCATGATAATAGGAAATTGCTGCATACCCAACCTGGCGTAGACATATCTGACTTGATTGCCGCTAGAACTGATATTGCTGTAATTGAAAAAACCAGTAATGCCTCCGTTCGGAAGAACACAAAGACTCCGTTGAATAAAGTTATTATTGGACAGGTATTTTTGCGACAATTTATGTTTTTTAATGTTATTGCGAAACTATTTTTGAAGGTACCCGATAGGGGAGGCCGCAGCTGGGAACAAGCCCCCCCGCCACCAGAAATGCCTTCGTGGCAGCAAAATCGTTCTACAGTGGGTGGGGCGCCCACCAGAGGCGGAGGTAGTGGACGGGGCGGTCCACCGCGCGGAAATAGTGGGTATAGAGGTGAAGGTAAGATCGCTAGAAGTGAAGCTACAAGACTGAAATGGCTATTTCTGGCTCCATGAACAAAATGACCCGATTCAACAATTCTTCTACAGGTCGAGGTCGAGGTGGTTATTCAGCTAGAGGAGATTTTGACAGTCAACGACGTTATGGAGGTAATTGTTTGTTATTTTTGAAATAAATGAGTTTGATAAATTCTTGAACTTATCGATTAGGAAACAGCTCTTTTGAAAGTAGGGGGCACAATCCAATAAGCACCAGAGGAGGTCACAACTATTATGACAATCGCGGTGGTCACACTAGTTATGATAACTTCGCTAGCCGAGGTGGTCACGATAATTACAGCTATAATCGTCGTGATAGCGGCGGCTATGCGGGCCAGGATTTCCAACAGAGTAAAAGGCCAAAGACTTACGATAACTTTCAAGTAAGAACAGAATTATTAGATTATTACGTTAATCTAAAATCTTATGCATACTATAGGCTATCAAAACGACTTATGCTGACCAATATGTGCAAGACAACCAACATAATCAGCAGTACCAAAGGGGTGGTCGTGGTGGCTACTCAAGAGGTCGATCCACTTATCATAGAGGCAGCGGAAGCTCATACAGATAAATAATTCGTTTGGTTTGGGTTGTTTAGGACTAATAAAAAAGGCTTTATTGAATTGTAAATTGTTGCTGATCGGTCGATCTGGATTTTATAGGGCTGCAATTTCCTTTTACAGTGTTTCTAAATATGGCGTTCATGTGAAAGTGTGGACTTTTAAATTGATTTTCTATTAATTGCAGTTTAAATAAATTACTTTAGTTACGGGATTACAGTGTAATACAGAAACAGCTTTCCTTCGCTAAAGTTATTTGGTAAATATGTAAAAAAATTGTGATTATTAGAACCATATCCCCACTTTTTACATGTTTTTTTTCACCAATGGCCAATAAGTTTCTTTATACAGTTCCACTTTGGATTTGGATTTTTTACGATGCGTTTAATAAAAGTCGGCTCATGAATGGAGAGAACATTTTAGAAATTCTTCAAGAAATAAGATTTTACACAATCGAAACTTGTGGTTGATATTTAAAGAAATTGAGAAGCTGAAAGTTATTTTTTTTTAATCACCCACCATTAACTAAATCTTCACATGCTTGTTTATAGGATATTTGAGTTTTTAATAGAAGGCTTTAAAAATTCCCCATTTTGCACTTAGACCATGTTTAGAAACACTCTAGATTGTTAAGTTTGAAATTGCAGCATTGTATTAAGCTACTCCGTTTGTTTAATTATATTGCTTTTTATTGTGGCATCTAACATATCCAACTAAAGTTATGCATTTGTCATTCCTTGAAACATTTTGTTGAATTCGTTGCACATTTAAATGAACTTCAATATTTCAAATGTTTCCTACCAAAGTCAGTTTCATTTTAAGCATTTATTTATTTCTATTTATGCAAAAGTTGCAATTGAATTAATTCGGCTCTGCCTTTTTAAATTTCCTTAAAACAATGTATAACATTAGCGAAGCTCTATCTGATTTTCTCTCAGATTCTTCATGGACTTGGTTTCGATGCTCTATTTTTATCTATTTCTCAGTCTTGCCTAACTTTTGTAATGCGTAGTAAATTGGTTCGTTCGTCTTTATCAATTATTAAGGTCCATAAAAGTCAGTTTTGTGTAAATACGTGCATATACATTTGAATATGTTACCGTAACTGTCTCTGGATTGGTATTGTTAGGTTTTCTTGGTAAGTGTTTTGTTTAAGGAAATTACTCGATATTTAAAATAGAACGCTGAATTAACTATCGCCGCGTAATTAGACATGAGTAAATTAACTATTATACTTGGTGAATATATTGCAAACTTTTGATTTGGTTCGTGTTTTATTACACAACAGTGGGGATTAAATCCCATTTTTTTTACGGTGGATGGCTGTAATATAAATGGTTTTTCCTAAATTGGCCATCAAACAATTTCAGAATTATTCTGGTTAGAAAAATATTAGTAACGCGAAATGTTGCTATACAAAAATGTTTTCGTCGTTTTTTGTTTGGTCCATTTGGTTATGAGTTAAAAGGTGTTAGAAATGGAAGTGACCAAAAGGAAAATTCGTCACAGTTTACAGCTTTATTTTTTAGTAATGCCAAAATTTCAGGGCTGAAATGGTGGATGTGTTTATGATCCCGATACCATAACGGCTAATTAGGCGCAATTTTGGTTTCGCCGATTCCATTGAAACAAAACATTTTGACAACAGTTTTAAACGTCGAGTTCACTAAAAACAGTTCGAGCTTTATAATTTTCTGGAGATTTCTTGCACCTTTTTTTATATGGTGACGGTGATGCATTTTTCACGTTAATTTTTGGATGAATATTTTCTGGTAAAAAGCTTTATTAATTTTGTCGTTAATTGTTCTCCGTATTTTAGTAGCTGTTATGTTTCCTGTTACATTCCTTTTTTTTTCGATCCATTATGTTCTATCGTTATTCCGTTTGGTCTCTCGGGAAGGTCGTCATTTTTTCCATCTTCTTCATCCCTTTGTTTTGGCTTCCCATTAAATTTGGACAAAATTGTTCAAAGTAGGTTTTCCGTTGAGACTCATCAATCTGTGTACTTGATTAATTTGATTTTAAAAGAAATATTTTTCGCGCAATGCTGATTTATACTTAAACGTATTAATAATTTATTTGTTTTTATGTCTGGTGCTTCCAATGTCGTTCACAAACATTCGACTGTGAAAATTCCGTGGAAAACTTCGATCTGGTGTTCCTAACAATATTAGTTTATCAGCAGTTTTCGTCATCAAATGATCAAGTATTTAGTTTCCATTTGTCGGTTTTCCAATTTTATAAATTAAACTAAAAAATCCAACTGAATTTTGATTATACTAACAGGCGAGTTGTATTTTAGAGGCTCGGTTGGAAAGTTTTGATACATCTTCCATATGCTCCAGACCTGGCGCCAAGCGATTTCCAGTTTTTTCTTGCATTGCAAAACTTATTTAGCTATAAGGCATTGGAATCAAGGAAAAATTGTAAAAATCGATCACAGAAATGCACCGTTTTTTAAAGATTGAAAAAATCGATTACAGAAGGGACTGTTTTCTTTTAGTTTTCCTTTTTACCAATCGCCTATTTTCTTGGTCCCATATTTGGCTTCCAATGCCTTATGAAATTTCTAAGAAAGAAAATCTAGCAATAATTTGACGGTTGACTATTAACCTAAGAACGTTTCACAGATGTCCTCGAAACAACCCGTCTATAATCCCAGTGATGTCCCAAATGACCTTTACGGGATCATCCCATACATGACCCGAACAGTCCCAAAAGTGTGTCCCATGGACGTTCCGCGTAGATGTCCTGTAATGCCGTCCGTGGGACATCTCAGGGACCGAGGTGTGTTTGCTGGAAGGTTGACCAGAAACGGTCAGAATTGACCCACAGGAGACGTGTTGTATTTTAGGAGTTGGGATGGAAAGTTTTGATACACCCACCACATAGTCCGGACCTGGCGCCAAGCGATTATCATGTTTTTTTGCATTGCAAAACTTCTTTAGTGATAAGACATTGCCATCAACTGAAGATTGTGGAAATCGGTTGCAAAAGCAAACTCGGGCAACCCGAAACATATGTTTGTACAGGTACAAATAATATGGATTTTCTCTCCAACCTGCATGGCTATTATAATATTGATTAATGCTCTGTAAAAAGTCAGAAAAAACCAGCTCGATTAAAAAAACTTTAATTGCTAACCAAATATGAAACACTTTCTAGTCCATCTTACATCCAGAGATGTCGACAATTTCTTGTGGACAAACAACTTGGGTGAACTTGGCGTTGGGGTTGGAGCAACCGTTCAAGAACGTCCACCTGAAGAAAGAAAAGTAACAATTACCCGAAATAGGTTCCAACCTTCCATTTGCATCAACTCACCTGAATTTGCACCCAGGCTGCAATACTGCGGGCAGGTCGTCGCAAGCAGCTTCAGTTTCTACTCCACCGTACTGGTCACCCCAACCCTGGTCAGGTGCGTTCCATTGCTTCTTACATCCTTGAGTGTAGTACCCAACTCCACCTAGAGGAAACTCAACATGTTTTCATGCTAAAGCGCATTTCCTTTCAACTCACCTCCGGGAATGGCAATTTCAATGTTGTTCTCGGTACTGTTGGCACTGCTGGTACCTCCAGTGTTGGTAATTTGGACAATCATGGTCTTGCCCTCACCACAGTCTCCCCAGCCGCCTCCATTGAATTCAACTAACATACAGGTACAACACATGTTCTCTGGTGGGCTGATAAAGGCAACAGCTGCGAATCTGAAGAGGCGATACTTTGTTCGAGTGCTTAAATAGGGGATGTAACACTTACCCGTAGGCCAAAGTGCTGTTGACGATGACACCCTGTTGAGCGCTGCACATGTATGCGTTTCCATTGTCTTCGCATCCAGATTGGACGTTTCCATCAATGTCGCTGGAGCCATCGATGGCGCAAGACTTTACTGGGCCTAAAAATACGTTCGACCTTCTCAGTTTTTTCGAGCATTTGCCTTTTTATTCCAGGCGAGTAATTCACCTGAAGTATTATCAGCCGGTTTAATGACTCATTGTTAACTTGAACTACTTCTGAAGAGTTTTGTTTATAATTGAATTAAGCGAGAATAGTAAAAGACGCAATTATATTCGATAATTTTTTTAGAGTCGCTTGCTTTTGCGTAAACGCAAGTTAAAGTATCTACATACCAATGCTCGTATCGGTGTTTCCTACCCATGAACAAGTGGGTTTACAACAGTCCCAGTATCTGGATGTTGTGCACTCTCCACTGAAACCATTTTCCACAAACTGGATTTCGGGCTGACGTTCCACAATTCCTGCAGCGCCTACACACAAATAGCCGTTAACTAGGTATTTTTTCCATATTTCAACTTATTCATATATAAAGGGGTTGCTCAAGAAAAATATGTTTTTAGAAGAACATACGGCACTTTTAAATCCTAAAGGAAACCGAAGGTAGGGTGCAATAAGGTTGTATAGGATGCATAAGCCAGCTTGAAAATGTTGCCCGCTTAAAGCGCCAGAAAAGAAAATTGTTTAAAAAATATTTACTGGTTTCCCCACGAAATTATGCCGCAGGGCTTATTAGATCTCTAATATCTAATATACGGGTATCCTGTAACCATATTTTGCTAAAGTATTGCTTGGTTGTTGAATTTTAAACATTAAATAAAGTTATAGAAACTGACAAAAGAAATTTTGGTGGATATTTAATTTTTCAGATTCTAGATAAAAAAAAGTGCAATACTTACAAAGGCTGATTGCAACCGACAAAAGAGCGACTCCGTACTTCATGTTTCACTTATTAAATTATTGGTACTAAGTGCTAATCGAATTGATCTACTTATATATATTTTTGAACGTCGCTTCAAGTACCTGTGTCCGTGTAATTAATTATATAAACAACTTGAAATTTTGAAGTTGTTTTGGTTTAGTTAAACGCACGATTTTCGTTCCTTCTGGCCAACCACTTAAGATAATCCAATCTTGTTTTATCCATATTTAGAATCGTATTTTTTCACATTTTCTTTGTTTTGGGATTACCTAATATAAATATTTTTGAAAATATGTGGAACACGGCTTTTCGGCTTAGGCTAGCTTATTTACAAACGCTTGTAAAATATTCATATTATGTCGACATGAAAGTTTACTAATGCGATCTGAAGTTGCTTATCAGGAACATACCGACATATTTAGGCGGCAATCAAATAAATGTTAGCACATTAATATATTTATCATTGCATAATAATTTTATAATCAATGAACGGAATCTTAACTGATAAAAAAAACTACCTAAACCAAAAGCTTTATATTTGCATTTTTGAAAATCCTTTGATTTTAGTTCGGTTTTCTAATAACATGTTTTCCTAACTAAAACTATTTTTTTTTTGGTAGTACACGAATAACTTCACGCAATTTTAGGGTTTACATAAAAAATAATTTAGAGTGACTTAATAGTATGAGAACATGCAGTGTAATTGCAAATGTGAAAGAATGA